TAGCTCACTAGACCACTGGCTTTTAATGAACAGTTTGCACAACACTTATGAATAGTTTGTTATACTGCACATTATAGCTGTGACAAAATAATATTTAGGGTAAAAATGCTATGTCACTGTTTAATAGACTTACCCAGTATTTAAGGACGACATGTTTCTTGCAAAGTAATCGGGACTTTGAGGGAGGTTCTAACTACGTTTAATTAATTAATTAATTTACTAAAGAAAAGAAAAAAGAAAAAAGTTTTTTGATTTTTTCCTGCAAGTGAGTTTTCAGCGCAAGGTCATCTTGTGTTCACAGACTATTCGGATTTTAAAAAAGCTGTTCTTTATTTCACATTATGAACGGCCTTGTAATTCCTATGCACACTAAAAGCTGTCTTTTAAATGTTATTGTTTTAACTTTAATATTTCAGAGTTACTACAGAGGATAAAGTAATTTAAAGAAAATATATTGGAAGTATATTAATTGAAAGGATTTCATTTATATATTTTGGTCCACTGTTCACTGATCTCGAATCTCAGTCTGGAGTTTATATCCACAACTGCATTTTGCTTTGAGGAAACACATTGAAAGCCTGGCATTGTAATACGTGTATGGACATGCTTATAACAAAGCATGGTCCCTCTCCTCATATAGTTGGTCGTTAACAGGCACTTTGATGCAATGACTCTACCAACGCTTTACACATAACCTATCTCTCAGTCATGATGCAGAGTTTATGTTTGCAAGGATAACAGACCTTATCCATCTGTTTATCCGCATACCTACTCCTATACTTTAGATGGGTTAATTACATAATAACCATTGAGGGTAATATGTTGGTTGTTCTTCCTATAGAGGGAAGGTAGACTTGCCCTAAAAGCTTTTTCATGGCTAGGACAAGCTCTCATAGGGAGAGATAATGTACTTCTGACTCCTGAAAAGGAATATTGGTGGTCCAATATGGGAAATTCTGTAATTCGTGTGTTTAGTAATCATAAGCATTTGCTTATTGCCACATTACTGATGTACTGTTTATTGAAATATTAATAGCTAACGTACTTTTTGAATTACTATATATTGGAAGTGTGCCAACATCTCATGGTTATAAATATGTTTTTGTATGTGTTGATGCATGTACCAGGTTTACTTGGATATATCCTGTGCAAAGTGCAACCTCTGATGCCACGTTTTCTAGTCTCACTTCCTTAGTATGCATTTGATAATCCCAGGACCATCCATTTGGATGGTGGTCCTGCAGTTACTGCAAAGGAAATCCAAAACTGGGCAATCACATTTGGGTTACTTTGGGATTTCAGTGCCCCAACCACCCCCAAAGTAGTGGGGTTGTGGTCTGGGAAAATGCTGAGGTTAAATGATTATTAACCAAGTTACTAGTTGCTTGCCCCACACAGTGGTATCTATTTATTCCTATGGTACAGATGAGCATTCACAACATACCTGATGATACAAATGGTGAGACACCATATGAAATGTTACATGTTTTTCACTGACAATCATATTTCTGCACCGGGTAGAGCTTAGAACCATTGGTTCTATTGGAGACATTTAGGGATTTTTTTCCAGCCCACCTCACCATGCACCACCAATTTTTTCCTACTGTTGGCCAGCTTGTCCTGGAGAGGGTTACTCCGAGAACTTTTACTACAGAGAACAATCAGAGCCAACAGAGAACAGTAAGTTTTGATATTTTACAACCTGCTAAATACTTCCAAGATGTTCACAGAACCACTGACTGACACAATGGATGCTGTTAAAGATGGCAAGATAAAACAAACAGAATCAGCAAATGTGAAGGAGAAGGATGAACAGACAGACGTGATACATTCACAGTTAACATGGAATGTATGAAAAATAAATCATCAACATCATTATCAGAAAGACTCTGGAGAAAACAGACTGAACCTGAATTATCTTATACAGTAAGAAAGAATGCAAAGATGGAAGCAAAAGGATGCTAGAAAATTGGTTATGGTGTCTCCTTCTTACAATCTGCAGCATTATCATAACATCAACCCTAGCTGTCGTTTTAAAACTGCATTGGAATTATGTTAACAAGCAGGACTATATAACACACTATACAAGTTCTTTTGATCGTGAGGACTACCTCCAAAAAATATCTCATAAGGAGAGACACAGCTCACAGTGAAATGATTGCTAAATGTGACCTACACTGGTATTTCACAAGGAACCTATTGAAGATCATTCCAAAAACCGATTATGAGAAAGATGTGATTGAACTATTCCAAATCCTAATAATGGAATCAATGATGATGGCAAAGCATGCTGAAATCAGAAAAAGACGAGATAGATGCTTGTGAAAGACTTTGGATGCACCTATGAAGGTGATTAAGAAAAGACTTTGCCATATAGTTTATCATTGAATGACTACCGCAAACAGCCTTCTTATGCTGAAAAGAAGTGCTATGCTAATTCTGGACATTGCTATTATGTTTCCAGACAGAAGATGACCGGAAAAAGAAATAAAGGCTGATAACTGTCAACACCCAGCTGTTTCTCAAGATGGAACATGGTACTGAGAAAACCTGATTGACTATCAAAGCACCTCACAGTACAAGACACAGATTGTTGCCTACAACTCAGAAAAAGTGGTTAATAGGAAGGAGCAGAAGAAGAGGAAAATAGATTTCCTACTGGAGTGAAAAACCATACTGGAACAATATTCTGTAACAATGAACTTTACAATGACATTTGGTGGCATATGAATTTGAATTCGGAAGAAACACATCAATTAACGATAGAAACCTTGATGCAATTAATAAATAATAAGACCGGCTTACTAAGAGCAGATGCCCTGCCAAGAGAATGGGATATAAAAGGCCGGCAAAATCTGACATCACGGGACACTTGTACTAAAGCACGATTTGCAGCCTTTCTTAAACTCTACATATTATGTACATACCTGCAAAGCAAGGAACTCCTGTAAACATAAACACAGAGACAGTGATACAACAAGGAATCTGTAATGGTTCTGTTGCAGATGCGATCTACCAATGTACTCCTTGCTCTTTTGGTATAACTATACCAATGAAAACGTTAAATGGCTCCATAGAATCAAACGACAAAGCATTCTTGCTATATTCTGGACTTCCAGGAATGTGGTGCATGGACAGAAAAATTATAATTACTAAAGCAATCATGCTATTTTTTTCCCTGTATCAGAAATGTGTCAGTGACAATGTGTAATATAATACAGATACTATAATTAATGGTATAAGAAACACATAATGTGTTAATTACAAAGGTGGATAGACTTTGTGAATATCTGAAACGCAATTAAAGATTATTGCTAAAATGCCATATGCAGCTGCAGTCTGGCCTACAAACAAATATATTAGACAAAGTATAAGAGCATAACAGCTAATTACCCAGATGAATAATTGAATCGTGATAGTTAAAGATCATATGATTACAATAACAACTGCAATAATGAATGTTTTAACCTTAAAAGAAAATGTGAACTGTTTTTATTGAATTAGAAACTACTCGATATTCGTTTAAGTTTGCAGAGTGGTATAATTAATATAAGTGAAGTACTTCAACAGTTAAAATTTAACTGAAAGACAGGCAGAAACTTTACTTCAACTATCACAAACCTATATTTAGAATCATAAACATGTTCAGTCTGCAGGAGCTAATGCCAGTCAATGGAAAGTAAAAGAGTATTATGGATTAACCCGTCCAGGTGATATACATGATGAATTTGGAAATTGATAACTTAGTTTTTCAAATACCAAGAAAATGTTATTTGGTTTGTGATGGTTAAAGGTACATTTACCTGGTGGCAACGATCCTGCCACATCTATTGATTGTTTAATCAATACATCATGCAGATGATTATTAATTCATATTCTGATCGTAGCATACCCCCACTTCAACCAGTTATAGTTACAACAGATTCTGATATATATTGTTATGGAAGTGTTAAAACCACTTATACAAAGGTAGCACTAAAATATAAATACCTTCAATATTGTATCTGAGTGCTTTCTTAACTCACTTTTAGAAATTTTAAAAAATTCAAATCATCTTAAGCTACACCCAACAGCTGCTGGTAAATATACTTAAACAATTGTTTCTCATTGTTGAGCATCCAATCTTATGAATGTAACTTTCCACAATGGCTGTCAGATTTTGGTAAAAAAAAAATTAAATACAATTTTTGGGTGTTTCTGGTATTTTAAGCCACTAATAACTGTAGTTATTATATTTACTAATTATAACTTAGGGAATAAGTTGTCTTCTCCCTAACAGGACAAAGAAAGATGAATAATGTCATGTTTACAATTATCAGCTATTCTAAATATATTGGGAGATTTTGAATAAAGTAGTATTTTTAACATTTAAAGAGAATGTAATTTTACATACCATTGTGAACAAAGGCGGTAAATACTTTGCTGCTTCAAATTATTCTTATATCTCTAAATCATATACAAGAGTGTTTATCTTTAATACAAAAAACTAGAAAAATTAACTATGTTACTATTTCATCTATCATTATTATACAAAGTATAACAAATGTAAATATTTTTCCACAGATTTTACCCGTTAACATTTTTAGCACAACAGCACCTGATGTCATTGAGATGTCTATCACTGAGATGTTACAAAGATTCCAATACAGCAAAAAGAGGCATTCTTGAGAATCCACTTTGATTGCTGTATCAACATAACATTTACTATAATGGGATCCATGTCACTTAAGGCAATGCCTTGGAAATGCTGTCAATTAATTTATTCTGTAAAAGAATATCGGAGGGTATCCAATCTATACACATCATAAACGGTGTAAAAATGTTTCATGGAAAAAACAAAATAAAAAAAGCAAAGACAAATGCAAATACCAACGCCATCACCACGGTGATAACAGATGATGCTGATTCAATATCTGCAACCAATTCTAGCCAAATATTTGGAAAGCTGGACTCTACAACCTATACTCTACAACAAATACCCAGGTATTCTACAACCACAACCTCCAGCAATGTATCTAAGGAATGCAAACTTCTACAGGCCTTTAACCCCTTAAGGACACATGACATGTGTGACATGTCATGATTCCCTTTTATTACAGAAGTTTGGTCCTTAAGGGGTTAAAGACTTTGGATTACAAATACAATTACTACTTTTAACTTTGGATTACAATTCGTATCCGGATCCATCCAAAAATATCTTACTCTGGAACGTGGTGTTCTTTTCAATTCTTTCCCAGATAAAAGCTTTGCTCATTTTAATCAACCACCTTTACAGGCAAAGATCACACTACGGATGTTTTACTGTTACAACAATGATCAAAGCTGGGAACACAAAAACCGAAAGAGAGTTGGAGAACTTTGGTTTACTAATTTAAGGAAGAAATGCGCTATAATGCCCACAGTTTAATGGAGAGGGTGTTATGGGCAAATGCAAATATTACAAGTTTTTAGAATGAAATGTTGTATTTCTTAAACTGTGTACTTTGTCTTTAAGAGATATTGCAAACTGACAAGGTGTTAGAAATGGAACATATTGTTTTTAATAGATGTTTCTTTAAGCAATAACCTCTTATCTACCTACAGTGCATATTATGTTTATGCCATTTTGTCCCAGACGAATTACAATAACAATAATGCATAAACAAGCTTCAAGGCTGTGCTACGACTCTTTCGGTACGTAATTTACTGTGGTAACCTTAGTAGATAACGATGTTCAGACTTTAATGTGCCATCTTGAACGAAGTCAGGAAAATTTCCATGACGTATACACCCTTTAGTTATGGCCTTGTATGTTTGCCAAATTAAGGGAGGTCCTAAAATAAATAAAGTAAAAGAAGTGTTACTTTTTCATATATGAACTACGTTAACCCTAAAATGGAGACACCTAAGGTATAAATAGGTGTACTTTTAACTGTTAAGAAACAGAGGAGAGACTTGGAGACAGACGCTGCTCCATCTTAAAATGACAGAGAGGCTGACATGATGACATGTTCAGAAGAGTATGTTAACCTATTAATGATATTTGCAAGCATTTAGTTTAATCTTATAAACTCTGCTATATGGATTTTATATGTCTATATTTATATTTTTATATAATAAATATCTAAAAAGACAATCCTTATTTTATATTGTATCCTCAATTATTTATATATTTTAAATAGAGTATCTCTTACACTAACTATATAAAATTACGGCTAAGATATCTGTATGGTTAGCCCTGCTAAGTTCTATGCTTTAAGACGTTATAGTGGTAAATAAGGGAACCAGCTGCGGTTACAAGTGAAGATAAATGGTTATGAAATGAATGAAAGAGATAATGAAACGAGAATTCTTCTCACGAGATAGTTTAAAAAAAAACCTTAATTTTATTAAAAAAATCCTTTCACCAATTAGTGTTTGCAGTGCTAAGAATGTCACGGAAATTCCTGTCCCTTTTTTAAAGTGTATAATTTAATTGTCAATGTAACAATCATTGTATGCTATGAAAAACAATTAGAGAGCTTTTACTTGTTAATTCTAGGGAACCAACCAAATGAAGTTCATCTCTTCTGCTTCACCTAATGTGACATGGCCCAAGTTACGAGTGACAGATCCGATTATCACTTTGATGTCACAATTCATGCATGATCCACAAACAGTTTCTATAAAAATGCTTAAAATGCCCCTGTTTATTAACTATTGAATCGAAAAAGAGTGATTCTTAGTAAAAATTCACAGTTAGTGAACACAATTATTCATGTTATGAAAAAGATACCTTGTTTATTAAAGATATGCAATGTGTTATAAAAGAAACAGGTGTGATTTATAGCTATTGCAATCTCTTCACGCAATTCTATTCTGGGGCAGCTGTCTTTTGGGGCTCACTTTCCTAGGGTCCCTAGCTAGATTCCTGCATTACCCCTGGATAATGTGGCACTGGGAGAGGCAAATCATTGGATACAATGAAAGGGTAGGTTGCTGTGGTGATGAGTGGCAAGTGCCCAAACCAAGTACTGAGTCCATATGCATGCTTATACTTTTCAGAGGTCCGATATTGTTCTATGTACACTCCTTGTTTTATTGATTGCATGTAATATTCTAATTTACTGAGATTGTGGATTTTGGGTTTTCATGAGCTGTAAGCCATAATCATCGCACTTATGACAAAACACGGCTTGAACTATCTTGCTTTGCATGTAATGCGTCTATCTCATATATTAATTTCCCCTTTTACATTGCATTACTGAAATAAATGAACTTTTGCACGATATTCTAATTTTTCGAGTATCACCTGTATATCAAGGACTGTCTCTACGGATGTTAACTTTGGAAGTTAAAGAATTGATTAATTCTCTGCTTTATATAAGAATTAATAAATGTATTAATTTTGCCAATCATTCACTTGCTTATGCAGCTAATCCATCCTCTCTTCCCACCATCCCTCCCTCCATCCTGTCACGGTTGCTGTTACCCTTACACTCAGGTAAAAGTATACCCGCAAATTTAGGGTCCAAAAAAGCCATATTGCAGAGTGGCAAGGTCAGGAACACAGAGATACGGATACACAACACACAAGCCAGGTCCAGAAATACACAGCTCAATCTACAAGCCAGGTCAGGATACCAGAAATACACAGGTCAATATAAAATCCGGGTCAGGATACCAGAAATACACAGGTCAATATACAAGCCGTGTTAGGCTACCAGAAATATACAGGTCAATATATAAGCCAGGTCAGTATAATAGAAATATACAGGTCAAAATACAAGCCGGGTTACGATACCAGAAATACACAGGTCAAAATACAAGCCAGGCCAGGATACCAGAAATACACAGGTCAATATATAAGCCAGGTCAGGATACCAGAAATACACAGATCAATACACAAGCCAGGTCAGGATACCAGAAATACACAGATCAATACACAAGCCAGGTCAGGATACCAGAAATACACAGGTCAATATACTAGCCGTGTTAGGCTACCAGAAATATACAGGTCAATATATAAGCCAGGTCGGTATAATAGAAATACACAGGTCAAAATACAAGCCGGGTTACGATACCAGAAATACACAGGTCAAAATACAAGCCAGGCCAGGATACCAGAAATACAGAGGTCAATATATAAGCCAGGTCAGGATACCAGAAATACACAGGTCAATACACAAGCCAGGTCAGAATACCAGAAATACACAGATCAATACACAAGCCAGGTCAGGATACCAGAAATGCACAGGTCAATACACAAGCCAGGTCAGGATACCAGAAATACACAGATCAATACACAAGCCAGGTCAGGATACCAGAAATACACAGATCAATACACAAGCCAGGTCAGGATACCAGAAATACATAGGTCAATATATAAGCCAGGTCAGGATACCAGAAATAGACACGTCATATACAAGCCAGGTCAGGATACCAGAAATACACAGGTCAATATATAAGCCAGGTCAGGATACCAGAAATATACAGGTCAATATATAAGCCAGGTCAGGATACCAGAAATACACAGGTCAATATATAAGCCAGGTAAGTATAATAGAAATATACAGGTCAAAATACAAGCCGGGTTACGATACCAGAAATACACAGGTCAAAATACAAGCCAGGCCAGGATACCAGAAATACAGAGGTCAATATATAAGCCAGGTAAGTATAATAGAAATACACAGGTCAATATACAAGCCGCGTTAGGCTACCAAAAATACACAGGTCAATATATAAGCCATATCAGGATACCAGAGATACACAGGTCAATGCAGAAGCCAGGTCAGGATACCAGAAATACACCGGTCAATACACAAGCCAGGTCAGGATACCAGAAATACAAGGTCAATAACAGGAAATCACAAGAGAGTCACAGAATTACTAAATGTGTTACTAAACTGAAACCACGATAGGGAAATGAGTAAGGGCCTGAACAGGCTTTAAATAGGTTTGCATGTGTTCTGATTGGTCCACGTCATCTCTGCGACTCCAAACAGCATAGGGTGGCGTAGATAACGTGGTCCCTTTAAGGGCAGACATGACATCATCAATTTCAAATTTATTGAGGACGCGCCCTTAGAGTGGCCTGTGTCCGAACCTCTTTGCAGTTCGGCCAGGGAATTAGCAGTGGGAGCCGTACTCGGAGGACCAAAGGTAAGCCTACTTCTTATTCAGGCTGTGCAGCCACGGGGAGCTTTCAGGCTGTGTGGCCTCAGGATGGGTGCTGATTTGCCTGTGACATCTCCTTCCTGCCTTCCTTTCTCTCTCTTTCTTTCTTTCTTTCTTTCTTTCTTTTCCTTCCTTTTCTCCCTCCCTAGGAGAAACATTGAAAGTTTCAAAGAAGTAACTCAATTATATTTCTATTTTGGGTAATTTGATTACCTGTAAGTCATACAATAAACAATACACAGACATGTTAAAAAATGCCTCTCGTGTATGAAAAATACAGAGTGAACGAGTGACCTGCATCTCCTCTCGCTTCTTGACACTTTGTTTCTCAGTTTGAATCAGTAAACTGCACTCCAGGAAAAGAGAATAGCGCAGGCAGTTATCCAAGGACATTTTTCTCACATTAGGTAAGAGTTCTAGGGCTTTATGTAGCAGTAATAAAGCACTCTCCCAGCTTCCTGGCAAAGAAACACAATAAAGTCAAACAGGTCATAAGAGCTGTGTCAATAAATCACAGCAAATGTCTTCTTTACAGAAAGGAAGAAACAGTTACAGGTAATTTAGTTGCTCGTTTTGACATTTAATCTTTGGTGTCTCCAGTAGGTTTGCAAAGTCCAAATGATAAATCGTGTTAAAAATAATGCACAGCTTTTTTTTTAATCTGTTGCTACTAACAAGAGTTTTTTTGGCATGTGAAAACAATATTACTGCACCAGGCATTCCCAACAATTTAATTAGAAAATAAAAGGGACACTCCATGCTGATTTGACACATTCTCTTTGCTGCGTCATATAATTGTGCACAACCCCACCTCCCCTCCAAGACATTAATCATTAAGGTAAAAAAAATCCCCCTTTTCACTTATTTAGACAATGGCTCTCCTTCCTTTCTGGCCTCTTTATCAATTACTGAACAGAAGACGTCTGCACTTTCTTTCCTTTTGCCCTGTGACTTGACCCGGTTCAAGGTCCAATTCCCTCTTAAAAATTCGGAACCAAAACAAAACACCAGGAATTTGTGCAATATGTCTGTTCAAGTATCATTTACCTCTTTCATATTAAGTGCACCCACACTTATTATATATCATTTTGTTAGAATA